TTTTCAGGCTTTCTCTTAAGGTCTGGATCCCTCCAGGAAAGACTTTGGACTCAGGAATTTGAGGGTTGGACTGGGCTGGGAGCCTGGCCCAGGAAAGATGCTGGTCTAGGGTAGCTAGTGGTCATTCCACCCAGAGCTGCAAAGGCAGATGGGGCAGGAAGATGTCCCAAGGACTCCTGGGGTCAGCACTGAGGAGCTGGGTTGGTCTGGATGCAAAGGATCAAAGAGAGGAAAGGTCAACCTCCGAGTCCCAGAAAGAGGCTGGCTGGTCTTGAAAGCCCAGGAAGTAGAGGGACATGAGGATGGGGCCAGGCCCAGAAGCAGTGCTCCCAGGTCCCAGAGAAGGCACTTTGTTGGTCTTGATGAAAAGGATCAGGAAGCAGTATTGGTTCCCCAGGTATCTGGGGCCCCAAGACAAGGAATGGGACAGGGCCCAAACTAGGAAGAGAGAATGCCTGGGGGGGGTGATGGGAGGGTAAATGAGGCTGAGGGCATGATGGACTTACCCTGGAGAGAGGCCTGTGGGTAAGAGAGAGGCCTGCGGCTGGTCCTACTGGCCCAGAGAAGCAGAGGGAAGAACATATTTCAACTTAAAAAAAATTATTTTTATTATATGTGTATGAGTGTATTGTCTTCATGTATGTAAGTCTATCTTTGTTGTACAATACCCATGGAGGTCAGAAGATGGTGTCAGATCCCCTGGAACTGGAATTATGGATGGTTGATAGCTGCAATGTGGGTCCTGGTAATCGAACCTAGGCCCCCTGTAAGAGCAGCCAGTATCTTAACCACTTGAGCCATTTTTCTAGCCTCCAGTAACACTATTTTCTGCCTAGTTGATTCATTACATGGCAAAAAAAAATCCATTAACTGAAAATGGGTTTTCTATGCATTAAGCACTGTGATAAGCATAAAAAATAGGATCAAGGAACCAAGGATCTTGAAATAGGAAATGTCTCAGATGTGTAAATCATGTAATTAACAGGTCCAGTAGAAATTCAGGAAAGAATGACAAATAAGATATTAGTTCAAATGTGTAAAATATTAAGAAAGCTTCACAACACAAGTTTTTCTTAAAACAAATTCTTTAAAAAGTGAAGAGTTATGCATGTGAACGTGGGAGCACAAAGGCCTCATAGTGGTGTGTAGCAGTGATTTGGATGAATATAACATCATTAAACCAATGTTAAATTAATTTTTTTATTTGAATCCTATGAATCATTAAGAATATGTGAAGGAACCAAAGGGTCAGAGGCTAGGAAGACTAATTGGGTGGAATTGGCATTCTTGAAATTCCTGACCAACATGCCTAGGTATGCTATATTCTTCACTTACTGTTAGGTGATACATAGAAATTAGTGAGTAACTTTTTCTTTTTTGTCATATCAAAATTGTTCATTTACTCATTGAAACTGTATTTATTAAATGGTTACTGTGTACTAGAATTACAGGTACAGCAATTAACAAAATAATGTCCCTGACCTAAAAATAATGAGTGTATCTGGGGAGACATACAATGTAACATAGTTTTGTAGTATGAGAAGTGCTACAGTCAAGGTTGGTTCAAAGAAATAAGACAATATTATACTGGTTTCATATTATGTTACTTCTATGTGTTCTGACAGGAGGAAAGTCATTTTCAATTCTCCCTTGATATTTAAAGAAGGAAGTATACTATATATGTCAGGGGTTTGCAAAAAAACAAACCCCTATTCTATTGTTTTCATGTGACAGTCCAATTCCTACAAAAGGCAGATAATAATGAATGCAATAGAAAAATTTAGTGTGGCTTGCACACTCATCCATTAAAAGT